TGCTAATCTTTCATCTACAGTAGATCAAATGAACTTGATTGGTAGAGTTGACAGCCACTTGCAGGTGGATGTTGAATATCGAAATAAAAAATTATCACAAACTTTTTAATTTACATTTTGTGACTAATAGTAAAACCAAGGAAACGTTCTTTAAAGTACCACTAATGGATGTACTTAAAATAGTTCAGAATCTTTTTAAAAAAATTTGTATATTTTTTCAGTAAGTTAAGGTTGCACATATTAAGCATTTCAGTTTAGAATAGGGGCTTGGAGCTGAACTGCCTGGGTTTAAATCCTGTTGGTTACTCATGAGCTGTGACCATGGGGAAAGTTACTTAACTACTTTGTGTGCCAATTTTCTTATTTAAAAAATGCAGGTAATAATACTTTTTACTTCTTTGGGTATTTCTGACTATCTATGTGCAAATATATATATGTAAAATTTTACATATATATGTAAACTTCTGATATCTACTTTGACATAGTAAATGGTCAATAAGAATTAGCGATATTTATTATTAGAAAAAGCTGTCAAATATGTAGAAAATTTGAGTGGTGCTCTACTAAAGGGTTCAGGTCATTAATATGCACTTGTGTCAGTAACAACTTGTTTCCTGTATTGCTAATCTTTCATCTACAGTAGATCAAATGAACTTGATTGGTAGAGTTGACAGCCACTTGCAGGTGGATGTTGAATATCGAAATAAAAAATTATCACAAACTTTTTAATTTACATTTTGTGACTAATAGTAAAACCAAGGAAACGTTCTTTAAAGTACCACTAATGGATGTACTTAAAATAGTTCAGAATCTTTTAAAAAAAATTTGTATATTTTTTCAGTAAGTTAAGGTTGCACATATTAAGCATTTTAGTGCTTAATTTGAGGACACAATTACAGCTGTGTAACAGTGTGAGGAATCTGGACATAATGAACAAGTACAGGGTGGAGTAGTTTGTGATTATTTTGTTAAACTTCTATCTTGACTTTAAATAACAACTTTATTGAAAAAAAAGGTTTACCTCTTAAATATGCCCCAGCCAATATAGTTTTGACTATTCTGTGATTTAAAATAAAATTGCAGTCGTATATTGAATATTCTTTAGTCTGATTGCTTTTGCTTCACTTCGAGACTCATCTGTGTTGGTGAATGTGGTTGTAGCTATTTTCACTGCTGTATAATGTTTCACTGTGTGACTGTTGCCATGATAGTCATTCTGTTAACAGGTATTTGATATTCTCAACATTGTCTGGTATTTTGCATATATATTATATGTCTGTGTGTATATATGAATTGCAGATAAATGTAAGTCAGCTTTATTTATATCTAATTTTCATATAAAATAGACTCATTTTAAGTATCTGGATTGATGAGTTTTGGCAAATATATATACTCATGTGACCACTACCATATCAAGATATAGAACATTTCCATCACCCACCCTCTTTTCCTCCCCAAAATTTATTTTGCCCATTTGCAGTAAATTATTCCCTGCATCAGGCAACTACTCATCTCCCTATGTTAGTTTCGCCTGGTCCAGAATTTTGTATACATGGAATCATACTGCAGGGAATGTTTGTGTCTGGCATCTTCTATTCAACATGCTGTTTCCGAGACACATCCATATTGCTGCATGTCAGTTTGTTGCTTTTGTTGTTGACTAGTGTTCTTTGTGTGAACGTCCCATAATTTGTTTATTCTTTCACATGTTGATATCTCAAATTTTGCATATAATTGGGTGTATAGTGATATTTTATTGTGATTTTTAATTTGTATTTTCTGATGACAGTGAGCACCTTTTAATGTGTTTATTGGTTATTGACCATGTTTATATCTTCTTTTGTGTGGTGCCTTTTGAAGTCTTTTACTCATTTTTTTCTCTTTTTTGTTGTTTTGAATTACATTTTCTATCTTTCATTAGGATTTTTCAGAGTTACCTATGGACTGTGGGTATGAGCCTTTTGTTGAATATATCTTCTCCCTTTCTACATGCTGCTTTTTTATTCCTTGAGGGTGACTTTTAATGAATAAAAGCTTGTAATTTTAATTTAGCCAAGTTACCATTAGTTTCCCTTAGGGTTGAACTTTTTGTGTTTTAAGACACATGAAAATAGTCTACTTTATTCTCCAGCTCTGTATGGCCTGTCACCCTGGGATTTACAGTCTACCTTGAATTGATTTCCATTTACAGCCCGAGGTAGACAGGAAGTGTCATTTTATACCGCGTGGCTCTCCTGGTGATCTGCTTATCAAGAAGATCATGTTTTCCTCATTGCTCAAGATGGACATATTTGTCTTAAAGAAAATTGGGTCTGTTAATGGACTCTGTTCTACTTTATAGCTGCCTTTTCTATTTACTACTTATGTACCTTTATCAGTAACATAGTGTAGAATTACTGTCGCTTTTTAATAACCCCCGGTACCTGGTGGAGCAAGTCTTTTCACCTTTCTTCACAAGTTTTAGTTATTCTTGGTATGTTGTCTTTTCATATAAATTTTAGAATTAATTTGTCAAGTTGCACACACATGCATGCACACTGTCACGCACACACGGACATGCACTCACACACACATTCACACACCTCTGTAACTTTTGCACCAACTCTACAGATTTACATAGAAAGTATTGACATCTGTGTACTATTCAGTTTTCCATATATGTTCCTCTGTTTGATTAGATTTTCTTTCATTTTTCTTAAAAATGTTTATAGTTTTCAGTGTGTAGATTTTGCTCATATTTTAATAAATTTACCCCTTAGTACTTAACGTTTTCATAATAAAAATTTTTCCAGTTGTTCATTGCTAATATTTAGAAATATTATTGAACTTTAAAAGTGTTTACCCTTTATCCTTGGACCTTTCTAGACTTACTTTTTTGGGGATATTTTTTCCATTGCTTTTCAGAGAGAGTGGAGGGGGGGCATGGAGAGAGAGAGAAACAAACACGGATGTGAGAGCGAGACACCGATTAGTTGCCTCCCACAAGCGCCCTGACTGGGCCGGGAATGGAGCTTGCATCCTAGGTGTGTGCCCTTGGCTGGAATCGAATCCGGGACCCCACTGAGCCAAACCAGCCAGGACTAGACTGACTTTTTTGAGAAGCCTTTTAATATATTCTTTAGGATTTTTCTTAATTAAAAGATACCTTTCTTTCTCTTGTCTTAATGCACTGGTTTGGATCTGTGAAATAATAGAATATCGGTAGGAGAGCAGACCTCCGTGCCTGTTCCCATTCTTAGGTGAAGCCATTCAGACTTTAGCCATTAATTGTGATGTAGGTTTTTCATAAAGGCCCTTTATTAGGTTGCAGAAGTTTCCTTCTATTCCTAGTTTCCCGAGAGTCTTTTCCCTGAATTGATGTTGGATGTTGTCAAGTGCTTTTTCTGGATCTGTTGTCGTGAGCATGTGATTTGTCTCCCTCGCTTTCTTAGTTTGGTGACCTACGTTGGTTTTGCATGTTAAACCAGTATTGCTTTCCTGGCATGGCTCTCATGTGGTCATAGTATCTTTTCTTTAATCCCCACGCAAGTACATGTTTATTGATTTTAGAGAGAGAAGGGGGGAGGAGAGAGAAAAGGAAAGAAAGAGAAACATCGATGTGAGAGAGAAACGGTGATCGGTCGCCTCCCATACGTGCCCCTGCTAGGACTCGAGCCCCAGCCTAGGTGTGTCCCCTCGCTGGAATCAAGCCCACAACCGTTTTGGGGAACGGGGTGGCGCTCCAGCCAACTAAGCCACCCCGGCCGGCAGGGGCTGTCCTTTTTGTATACTGTTGGATTTGATCTGCTAATATTTTTTAATGATTTTTGCATCCATGTTCATGAGGACTGTTTATCTAACGTTTACCTGCAGTTTTGTTTTTGACTCACTTTGGTATCAGTAATATTGGATTTAAGAATGAGTTGGGAAGTACTCCCTCCTCTCCTATTTTCTCAAACAGCTTGCATAGAATTGGTATCATTTTTTCCTTAAATGTTTGGTGAAATTCACCAATGAAATATCTGGGCATAGAATTTTTTGTGGGTAGGTGACTGATTACTAAATTCAGTTTCTCTAACAGATAGAGGAATATCAAGCTTTTCTATTTATTCTTGTGCCGTATTTGGTAATTTGAATCTCTTAAGGGATTTTTCCATTTTATCTCAGTTGAATTTATTGGCATAAAGTTTTTCTCAGTAATTTATAGTTATCCTTTTCATGTTCGTAGGATTTGTAGAGATGTCCCCTCTTTTCATTCCTGATATTGGTAATTTATGTCTTCTGTCTCTCTTCTATTTTCCTTCCCCTGAGGTTTATCAATTTTATTGATCTCTTCAAAGAACCAGCTTTCGGTTGCAGTGACTTTTAAATTTTGTTCATATTCTATTCTGTTCTTTTTTTATTTACTTGCTTATAGTTACTTGGACAGATAAGTATCTAAGGACAGTGTCCAGATCCTTCCGTTTAGATGGAAAACTAGATAGAACTTTTTCGTGTAGTGGTCGGTGCTCATTACCTTCTGCTTCCACAGTGTTTTCCTGTCAGTGCTGTTAGGTTGTATTCTAATGAGTTACTTATAATATCTCTACCCCAAGACTATCAGATCTTTGAGAAAAAGTTTTGGATATTTTGATATTGTACTCATCCAGACAAGCTTTTTATTCAGTATGATAAAGCTAATGACAAAAACACTACATGCATACTGAAATCTAGTTAGAAAATTTGTTTCTCAGATGAGTGTGGATAGGGGTTTTGAAATTGCTTTATGTTCATACTAGCATTGGGCAAATATGTTCGCTTTTGTGAATTATAAATATGAGAAGCACACTTGTAAAATCCTTTGAAATCTCTTCTCTGATGTCATTTTAGAAAAACACATTTTTGGAATTTGGCCATTCTCTTTATTTAAAATCAGACTTTTACCCAGAAGAATCTATGACTCTGTAATTAATCCTTTACTCAAGATATAACTTATCTGTTTTTATGTATCTAATGTAACCTATTTTTCCCTTTGCTTTAAGCTATTTCAGAGAGAGAAGAAATGTTGCTACCTCAACTGGAAAACCTGTGACACAGCCAAGTGAGTCTCAGCATTTCAAGTCTCTTATCATTAGCACTCATTTAATGGTCTTACATGTGTTTAAATTGTGATTGAGAAAGCAGCTCACCTGGGGAAAAGGGGCTAATGGGAATACTGTCTGCTTGGGTTCATAGTATTTCAGACATTTTAAAGGTGAGTGAATAAAAGACAGTAATATACATGCAGACTTCTGGAAATTTGCACATGGTAATGTAAAAAGATTTTTTTTTGTACAGTCTTCATTTATCATTAGCCACAGCTGAAGGCATTTAACTGAATTAAGTGGTTTCTGACAGTCTGAGCTACAGAAACATAGATTTATGGAAAGTAATTTTGCCATGGTAACAGGAAAGGGCTGACATTGCTCTGCTAAATTGATCATTGACAGAGGCTTTTCTTCTTTTTTGAAAATTCCGCTTCTACAAGTTCAGGAACATTCTTCTCAACAATAAGATGGCAAACACTTGTCTGCTGAACCTTTAAAAATTGTTTTGCCATATCAGAAAATGCAAGTGCTGAGAATTCTTTCTTGTAGATTGGTGTAATTCAAAGATGGCAAAAATTTCTTTTGAAATAATTTATTTATAGATGTGTTAGTAGCTCTGGAATTGGAGGGATATAGTAAGTAGGTTCTGGTATTTTGAGTGGTATAACATCTAGTTGTTATGTTACTGAATTTTCAATAGTGACTTACTGAAAATTATAACAGAATTAAGAGTAATTTTCTGCTGTTAATACTATTTAGGAATAGTATTAAATACTATTAAAAATGGCACCATGACTGCAGGGGGAGGGGCTGGGTGGAGGTGGAAGAGGGTGTAGGGGCATAAATAGTAATGGGGGGGGGG